GATGATACTATACACCACTCAGGCGACCACAACAGCTCACTCTCTTCCCTCCTTAGATCTCACTTAGATGAGAGTTTGTGGCAGAATAGCACACAGTTGTAACTTCCAATGTACATCTCTCCTGAGTTCAGGCCTGAGCAAGGTGAATGTCTTTGTTTTATTTCAAGGTGAATGACGTTAAGTAGAAAGAACGGGGTAGGAGAACGAGACTACCACTTCTGTCTTTTCTTTTCTTTTTTTGCCTCAAAATTCAAGTTTCATTAATTGGTCAATCAGAAGGCTGGGGACCTCCACATTACTCCCGGATAGAAATTACTGGAAGCATCATCCAGCTTAGCTTACAGATTGCAAGCCTGCAGGTCTTTCCACTACAGACCTCAGCGCTCTGTGGCCGCTCTCCTGAGACTACCACATATTGCATCTGTGATTCCAAGGTTGCCATTCTTTGGAAGGTATTTCCATGATTGGTCCTGTCAGTGATTACGATTGATAACTGCACGTGCTGCCGCAGTTTACAAACCTGGACTTGATCGACACCTGGAGGATGACATTACCCCTTACTGTTGTTCTGAAATTCCAAAGTTTGCCCTTCCTTGGGACACTGCGCTGCGTTCGACACCACTAGAGATTTGCGGTTTTTCTAGTGCACCCTAACTCGGGAAAAGTGATTAATTTCTCCTAACACATTTTTTGGTTCCACAGGCCCTAGACGAAACCCTTGAGATGGACGCCCTACAGACTCAGGTGCCGATGATAGGGTGTGAGGAACAGTTGCGATTCGTGGAAAATTACTGGGGAAAAAAAAACCTGTCTTATGCGTTGTTTAGGGTCCAGCCTAAATTCTCTAATGACCTCCCAAAGCGCACTTGAGAAGTTAGGAGTCTTAGGACGGACCCTAGAGATGCAAAATGTGAAAACATTTCACAGATTTCAGAGTTCTAAATCGTGGTAATTAGGGCGACGTGAAACTATGCTTCCTAGAAAAACCGTAAATCTCTAGAGGTGTCGAACGAGGCCCATTATCCTTGATTGCCACTGTCAGCTAGTATGGTATTATCATCACGTGCTGCTCCAAACTATGTACTTGGATTTGGTTGCACGTGGACTTCTGCAAATCAACTCCAGGTACGTAGTTGGCCCATTGTGCTCCATTGCCACTGTCAGTTAGTATGGTATTATCAGCACTTGCTGCTGCCAACTATGTACCTGGATTGGATTTGCACCTGGACTTCTGCAAATCAACACCAGGCTCATTCGTTTCTCAAACTTTCTTGCTGTCTTTGTGTCACGATTCTCACCACATACTATGCTTCATCCTTTTTTTTTTCTTCTTTTTTTTCTTTTTACGACAAACTCCATACAGGGAACCACTTTGTGAGATGATAAGAGCATCCTCCCGAAGTGAGCCCTTTAGTGGAGGCTCCATGTATTTGTGAGGAGCTTCACGTGCTGGAAACCGGGTCCAGCGTCCCAGCTGACAAGGCATTCATGGAGTATGCCCAGTCCAAGAATGCACCTGGACGTGCAGGTGGTAATCACCCACCATGAGGCAGCTCATCCAATGGCATCCCCTTTTTTTTTGTTTTTGTTTTTCCAGGAGCTTAGATTATTCTGAACAGTGCTCCAGCAAACCATTCTCCCTAATAAATGTAACGACAATAAACATATATAATGCATTTCATAATTTTCATCTGAATTTACATTAAAAAAAAGGGAAAAAGAATTTACTGTCAACTTGTGTCAAGAATTGTTACCTAAGATGACGTGCCACTGATATTGTTTTTTTGAGGTGTAAAAAAAATAAAATAAAAAAGAATAGCTCCAGTCCATTCGTGGGAAGCATCATGTGCTGCGAAACGGACCAGCATCCCATTACGAGTTTTCACAAAATTTAATATCTACATCGATTTCCCTGGGTAAAATACTATCTATTCGAGGAGTTTCCCGCATACAGTGGAGTTCCCTATTTCTAGTCACCTAGAAAGTAAGGAGCCAAATTTTGTCTTTGATGCTGAAGAAAATGCCCCTTTGTCGAGGAATTTCGCAGGCAGAGGGCCGAAGGCCAGTGTCCATTTGCTGTCCACATATACGCCCGCCGCTGCTTGAGACATAGAGGATTCTCAGAAAAAGAAGAAAAGCAAAATTGAACACACGTGCCCCATTCTTGCCTGTGCTGTCGGCATGCTATGTCAAATTGTGACTTTCAAATTGGCCCCTCTGAAAGGTCCAAATTACTGATATCCCCCGGCAGGCGGCGGCCTTTTCAGTATGTGCACTTGCAGTTGAAAGCCAATGGGCTCCAGCCAAGTTTCATCGATGTCCTCCACGCAGGTGGAAAAGTATGCTATGCCCTTGATGGAGAGGTCCAGATTCCAGAACCTTCTTTCATCCTCCCCACTTCTGCTTCCTCTCTCCTTCCCTCTCGAGGATCTCCTGCCCCTCCAACCGCGCTCTTTGCTCTTCTCTCTCACTTCTTCCTCCCGCTGTTGATCCTTCTGTTCTGTTCCTGCGCCATGTCCTCCTTCTCTCATCTCCTTTCCCTTGTTGTTCTCAGACTAAACCCTCCCTCATCTCCTCCTAATGTTGTTCTGCCTCCATGCCCTCCTCCCATCTCTGCTCCTTCTCTTTGAACAGGCATTTCGTTAAGATTGACATTTTTTACTAGTTTCACGAAATTGATCTTCCAAAAACGCACAGTTTTTTAGCATTTTTTTTGTGCCAACCACATCAGACCATTCATGGCTGGGGACGCCGGACCATCTGATCTGCCTTGATTTTTGTCCTTTTTTTTTTACCCTCAGAGGCTCAGATGTATTTTGACGGTACTGTGAGATACATCAGATGGTCCAGAGTCCCGAGGACGCCGGACCATCAATGATCCAATGTCGTGGGCACAAAAACACGCTAAAAAACACAGTTTTTTCTTGGATGCCCATTTTTGTGAAAATACTAAAATAGTAAAAAATGTCAGTTTTAACGAAATGCCAGTTTTTGGTGTTTTATCCGTCTGAAGGACGGACACTTTTTATCAAAGTACCGAGAGTATGGCGCATATGCAACCTGGGCGTTCTCCATGGCTATGATCCGGACGTCCGGACTGCCGTCCGGACGGTCTGGATTCAGTCCGGACTCCAGACGTCCGGTCCGGAAGGTCCGGATCTGCCAAATGAAAAAAAAAAAGGAAAAAAATTAAAGGTCCAGGACCCTTCCCCATTGAGGAGCCAAGCCCCCAAAATTGTTTTGGGGGTTCTCCAGGCCCGTTTTTGTTCTTTTGGGGGTCTGGACATGGTCTATCTCTACAATTATTTATTACTAATACCCAAGTACCTAGGCTACCAGTCAGGCCACCTGGGTCACCTTGTTTTCCTGTGCGGCCCTGCCGTGCGAGGACCAAGCAAGGTCCCAACAAAAAAATAAAATAAAATACAATTAAAAAAATCCGAAAAAAGCTATGTTATGCCTAGGCTACCAGCCGGGCCGCCCAGGTGACCTTGTTTTCCCGGTCGTCCCGGCCGTGCAAGGACCATGGAAGGTCCCAGCAAAAAAAAAAAAAAAAAAAAAGTAGTGTCCAAAACATTCCGGAAAAAACTATGTTATGCGGAAAAATAAACTGAACAACTTCTGTCTCAGGGTGACACCGAAATTCTTTATCAAATTAAAATATATATAGGGTTGCCGGCGTTCGGGTTCGGCCAAATTCCCGAACCTGAACCTGCCGAATGTTCCCCCCCTTGGGGATGCGTTCGGCCGTTCAGGCGGAACGCGGACCTAAAAAAAAAAAAAAAAAAAAACCAAAAAATCCAAAACAAATCTGAGAAAAACATATGTTATGCAGAAAAATAAAACGAGCAACATTTGCCTCAGCGTTAAACCCGAATTCCTTACCAAATTTGAAATAAAAATAAAATACGAAAAACAAAGAATAATAAGAAAAATAAGAAAACATGAAAAGAGAATTAAAATTAGTGAGTGGCTGAGCACGTTTTCGACACTGCCATCTTTGGCGATTTTTCATTGTTTTTTGGGATAGCCAAATACACTGAAAATTTACACGTGTATTTCATATAATATAAAGCTCATAAAAAAAGTGCAAGGAAAATGAGCGATAGCGAAATTCAGAAACCAAGCCGCATCATACACATTAGACCAGATAGTCTTGACCTCGAACCGAAAGCAGAATTGCAACTCGAGTTACACCAAATAAGAGCACAGCAAAGCTCACAAATGACTGTTGGAATAGTCTCGTCATCATCATCAATGAACGGTTATGAACCAATGTCGATTCCCTACCTGGCGCTCAGCGCCCAGACTACAAATGACAGATCCTATCTAGCCTATCTACAATGCTGCTGGTGACGTCAACAGCTTCCCGAAGTACGAGCAGATTTCGGCCAATGCTGTTTGCATCAAGCACCAGGTATGTCCCTCGCTTCACTCACACCCTCGATCCTCCACACAGATGCCACATGCACCCGAAGGCCACCATGCGCCCCATCCAGCAATGCGCAGGCCAGCTCAGCTATGGCTGCCTGCTTCTTCCCTGCTCGCTCGTGAGCGCGTAGGCACTCGCTTCAGCAGCTGGCGCAGCAGCGATTGCGCATAAGCAGCGAGTGTCCGAATGTCTGGCCAGCGGCCAGGCCCTTTCCTTTATGGAAAGTGGCTGCCAGTCGTGGGCTGCCTGGCTGGCCTGGGCCTCCCCACAGCAGCTTCCGGTAGTGAGTCCCAGTCCCAGAGAATCTTCCACACGGCCTGGGGTGGTTACCCGTGTTCTCCTGCCAAGCAGCCTGTGTTCAGTTCATGCCCCGTGTCTGGCCCAGGGCCTGCCTCGGATACATTTGGAAAAAGGCAGGCAGGGCCTGGGCTCACTCAACCAACTGATGCTGTGCAGCTGCCTGAAATTTCCCCCAGTGGCGACCAACACAAAATAGGTATCTCGTCACTTGGCAGGCCCGCTTTCACTTAGGGCGGCCAAGCATGCTGGAAACAGGGCCCCAGTGGGGCTTGGCGAGGCTTAGGGCTTCGCATTCCCTCCTCCATACTTCGATAGTCCTCTGAGAAGTTCAATCGATCTTGCGCTTTCCCTTCTGCAATGACTTCTCATAATGAGCGACAATCTGTGGGGCGGTCTGCATCAGTTTCTCTCTCATAAACCATCTGTCCTCCTTCGGATCAGCGTGATGTCTGAAGCGTACACGGAACTGCAACTGCAGCTTCGGAGGTCGACCCCTGCCAGTTGGTCTCGACATCGGCATCTCCTTGTGATCCACAATGGTGTCGATGTCGACTTCTCCATCCATGGTTGGGGGCAGCATAAACCGTCGAGAGGGAAATTGGTCAGTTTCCTTGAAAGGTGCAAGTTTGGAGGCATGAAAGACAGGGTAGGTGCGAAGGTGACCAGAGATCTGTGTCACGTAGGAAGTCCCATCTGGATTATCTCCGACAATGTCTAGAACCTCCCATGGTCCGAAGTACTTTGGCATGAGCTTTCGGGAAATCCTGTGCTCTTGCCCGAGTTTGGATGCCTTTACCCAGACTCTATCCCCAACCTGGAATGCAGAAGGACGGCGGTGTTTGTTTTCTGACTCTATCATCACCGCCTGTGCTTTGTGCATGTTGTCCACTGCTTGCTGCGTGAGACCCTTATAGCGATGAGCAAATTCCGAAGTACCAGGCGCAGCAGTGGACTGGTTCTCAGGTAGTAAGCAATCTAGAGGCAGTCGAGGCTTGAAAGTTAGCACTAGACTGTTGGGGCTTACCCCTGTAGCACTGTGCACAGCGTTATTGTACAAGCTGGCGACGAGAGCAAGCTTCTCATCCAGTCGACCTGACTAGGCTTGATATAGTGCCTCAGCAGGTGTTGTACAACGTGGTTCATCTGCTCTACTTGTCTGTTTGCCTCTGGGTGGTTCCCGGAGGTCGTCTGCAGCTGGGTCCCTTGTTCAGCAGCTGCAGCCTTCCACAAGTCACTCGTGAAACGCACATCCCGGTCACTAACAATGGACTTTGGCAGACCAAAGTCTCTGACCCAGTTATCCTTAAACAGTCTAATAACGTACTCAGTTTTAGTTGTTTCGGGCATCACAACTAACCTAGCGTACTTACTAAACCTATCCACCATGACAAAGACATATCTCATACCACTCTTGTTGGTGACCAGTGTATCCATGAAATCCATGGACAAGCTCTCACCGGGCTTTTCCGAAATCGGGACGGGCTTGAGTAGCCCAAGAGGGGCCTGTGTACGTGGTTTGTCTCTCTGGCACACCTGACAAGTTTCCACGTACAGCTTGGCGTCTTTCATCATGGTGGGCCACCTTAACTGCTGCAACAAGTTAGCTGCAGTCTTCTTGTAGCCAAAATGTTTGGTGGCATCGTGACACTCACCTAAAATACACTATGCAAAGACTCTCTATTTGGCACACACAAACGTTTATTCCCGGCTTTCTCGAGGAACAACAGGCCATCGACCAACACAAACTCGTCAGAAGTCACCTTGTCCTTCACTTCGAGTGTGCGTATGATCTCTGCCATGAACGGATCCTCGCGATAGGCTTCCACCAAGGACTGAGTAACATCGTCCGCAAGCCCAAACTCAGTAATCAGCGCCCCAAGGAAGTCTGGTCTACGTGACAACGCATCAACAACCTTGTTGTACTCCCCATTGACATACAGAGGTTCAAAGTCATATTGTTCTATGACTTCAATCCAACGTTTCAAAACATCGGAGAATACCGGTTGAGTCCTCATCCACCGCAGGGTTTGATGATCAGTCCTGATGTCGAAGAATCGCCCAAGGAGGTAGTGTCTCCAGTGAGTCAGTGCTTTGTAGATCGCATAGAGTTCCTTCTCGTAGGTGGACTTAGCCAACTTCTGAGAGGGCATCTTTTTGGATATGTACTCTACCGGCCTCAACTTTTTCCCCTCCTGCTGCGCAAGCACGGCGCCAATGCCATATTGGCTGGCATCTGTGGTCACCACGAACGGTTTGTCAAGATCAGGAAGTTTCAAGACCTTATGGTGTGTCAGAGAATGTTTCAGATGTTTGAAAGCAGCCTCACACCTGTCTGTCCACTCCCAAGGGGTGTCAAGGCGTGTGAGATCCGACAAGGGCGCTGCCACTATGCTATAGTTCTTCACGAAATTGCGGTAGTAGCCGGTCATCCCCAAGAAGGACCTCACCTCAGTCACAGACTGAGGTCGCAGCCAGTCACGAATGTTGGCCACTTTTGCGTCATCGGGCTTCAGTCCCTCCACAGAAATCTCATGACCCAGATACAAGATCTGGGTGTAGCCAAACTCGCACTTCTCCCGGTTGATCTTGAACTGGTAGGAGACTCAGTACTTTATCTAGATGGGCTACATGTACCTCAACAGTCCTACGAAAGATAAGTATGTCGTCAAGGTACACGATGACAAACTTATCTAAGTAGTCATGAAAAATCCGGTTCATCGCGTGCTGAAAGGTGTCAGTAGCATTGCAAAGGCCGAAAGGCATCACCACAAACTCGTTCAGACCGTACCTGGTCTGAAAAGCGGTTTTGTGTTGATCCTCGGGCCGGATTGCAATCTGATGGTACACGGACTTCAGATCTATCTTACTGAAGTACCGACACCCTTGCACCCGGTCCAACAAGTCATCGATGCGAGGTAGGGGGTCTGCGTTCTTCACAGTGATGACATTGAGGCCCCTATAGTCAATGCACATCCTCAACGTTCCCCCCTTCTTCGGTACGAATACGACAGGAGATCCATAAGGGGAGACACTCGGTCGGATCCAACCCTTCTCTAGGAGATCCTTAAGTTGTCGGCGAAGCTCATCAAGCTCCACTGGAGACATCCGATAGATCCTAACCCTCGGAATACTAGACCCTGGGATAATCTCTATCGCATGGACGACCTCCCTCTCAACAACCCCTTTCAGCTCTTCAAATAAATCCGAGTATTTAGCAACCACTCCCTCTATCTCTGGAGGCATTTTCACTGGCTCGCCCTCTGCAGAGACATATACCAAGTACATACCCTCCTCCGGATTTCGCTCATAATAATTATAGAAAGAGGCCGCACACATGCACCCATAGGACTCGATCTGATTACTAGCTTTATGCTTTCACAATCTGGCAGTCCCTCCACCAGGCAGCGTGTGTTTGACCATTTTTCGGTCCCAATGAAACTGGGGCTGTGCAAACCGAAGGTAGCACATACCAAGCAAGATATCCATAGGGAGATCATCGCTGGCTAGGAACGAGATTTTATGTCTCAGTTCCACTCCCGCGTACGGGAAACAACTCTCTACATCTTTTAGGTAGTTATTAACTACCATGCGTTGTTTGTTGCACAAGTCGACTCCACGTGTCGACTGAGGTGATGCACTTGCCCCTGTAAGCGCAGCCAATCAACACAAGCGCGACTGATAAAGTTCCTCGTCGAGCATGTACCGTAGAAGGCCCCAGTCTTACGGCCGTCTATAACTACCTCGCCGACGAACAACTCACCCTTAGGAGCTTTAGCCATGGTCGTCCAAAAAGCTAGCGGGTTTGATCTCGACCACTCCTCCTCTAGCTCCTCTAAGGACTGGAACACATTCATCGAACAGAGTACCGATTGGTTTGAATGTGCTCGCGGAATGACGTCAGAGTCAATAGCTTGGGCCATCTCTCGAGACGGCAAGGGTGTAACCACCATCTTGGCCCTAGTAGGAACAACTACAAATCCTACTGGCCCGACGTGTTTCCCGAAGCAGTGTCAGAAGTGTTGGCAACATTGCTACCCTGGGAAGCGGAGGAGGTCTGCGCCTGTCCCATCACAGACGGGATCTTTTTCGTGACCTTCTGGTTGCGGCACTTGAACTGTGTATGGCCATACTAGCCACAACGAATACAAGTTGCTCGAGCACACCGATCTCTCCACACGTCCTTAGTAAGCCCCGCTTTCTCCCATGAAGGAGCATTGGGGTACGTCTACCGGTCGCCTTTCCTTTCTGTACTGAGGCAGCGACTGCTCCACCCCCTTTAGCTTCTACGCTACCCGACTCTGACCCTACTCCCACTTGGAAGTCGTCGTCTAACTCTATGGTAGTACCATCGTTGTCGACGAACACGATGTGCCCCTTGGCCTTCCAGTTAGAAGGCAGTGTCTTTTTCCTACCATCCGTTGTGGGTTGGTGTCCATGCCCGATCTTTGCTTCTAGATCTCGGGCCTTCTTGCTAAACGAGGGGAAGTTGCGCATTGTGATCATGACCTCACTTGCCAACTGATTCCTTATCTCTGTAGGGAGGCACCTCAGGTAAGTGGTGAGTAAGATTTGGGGGTCGTAGCGTACGCCAGGAACACAGATCGGACTCTCTACCGCGTCTGTGGCATCCCTTACTGACCTGAACTTCCTTGAGCTCATGGTCAATATCCCGGTGGCCTTTTGAGCCTCCTGCGGGTCATGCCACCTTTCCTCCACCAGCTTGATGAAATCATCCAGTCTCTGGGTGACTGCCCAAGCGAGGAAGTCATGACCGTACCCCTGTAACTGCTTGTACCCGCTTCACCACCTCGCTGTACTCCCCTCAAGATAGGAGGCAGCCACAAACACTTCCTCGCGAGGCAGGGTTAACTTGCACTTCACATAGACTGGCACCGTCCTCAACCATGTGTCGAGGTCCTC